AGGGTTGCATTTTGCTTAGCCCAGTGTTGTCCAAACTTGGCCACTTTAAGATGAGTGGACTTCAACTCCCAGAGTTGAACTCCCAACTTCCCCATGGCTGGCTGGGGAATTCTGGAAGTTGAAGTCCACTCATCTTAAAGTGGCCAAGTTTGGACAACACTGGGCTAAGCAAAATGCAACCCTGGCCAGTTGTGGGTTGACAAGCCACGGTTCAGGAGGATGGGCAGCCCCTCCATGATTTCAAAGGGCTGTTCAATTTCCAGGCAGTGGGGAGTCAGGAGGGGGCGTCCCACTTCTTGCCTGCATCACAGCCGGGTTTCCTTGCCAATAAAAGGCCGTGTCTCATTTTTCCAGCCGAACCAGCCGATCAACTAACATTGCCACCCGGCAGTGGACCTTTCCAACAGACCTGGATCAAGGGAGACCAGTGCAGCCTGTTGCTCACAGAGGCCCCCTTGTTAGAGGGCACCTTTGGGGGATCTTTCCTAGCTCTGCAGTGAGCTTTCAGAAAGAGGTACTGGGAAAAGCAGACCACATTCCAGGCAGGGCTGCACGAGAGACACACAACCGCAGGACCGGCTCTTCAAATGTCCTTTCCCCTCGCTGACCGTTCAGCCTCCTCCAGCTGCTTCTTCCTAGGAAGGGGCTTTGCATGAGGGTTCCCCTTGGCCCAAGATCATTGCCCCAATCCGTTTGGCCCGCTACCTCTAGAGATGCCAGCCAATAGTGTCCTGGAGTCCTGAAACAGCTGGAGGGGGAAGGGTGCTTTAAAACCCTTTTTTCCCAGCTGTCAGTTCCTGTTCAGCGCAATTTTTTTTTGGATTTTTATCCCGCCTTTATTATTTTTGTTAACAGCTGCAAACGTACCTAATATTCCCTCCTCCTATTTTCCCCACAACAACCACCCTGTGAGGTAGGCTGGGTTGAGAGAGAGGGACTGGCCCAAAGTCACCCAGCAGGCTTTTGTGCCCAAGGCGGGACTAGAACTCGCCGCCTCCTGCTTTCTGGCCTGGGGCCTTCCCCGCTAGACCAAGCTGTCCATGTCATGGTTAAGGTCACCATCAACCAGACGGAACCTGAAGAGGGCTGCGTCCACCACTGAAGTCCACTCCTGAAGGAGCGTCAGGCCTGGCACAGCCACTATCATCCACGCCCAACTCTCAGCATCCTCAGGAGGCAGGGTGGCAGAAGGGCACACGGGAGCTCGCATTCAGCAACAGATGGAGGACCATTGTTGGCCTGATCCCACGCTACGTTGTGGGTTGTGAAGGGAGCCATAGTGTACCAAGAGAAAATGCAGCTTTGCTTGGCCCCGAACATGAAGCCAGACAATTATGGCTTGTTCAAATCATGGCGATCAAGTGCGATGGGTGAGCCAGGCTGAAATACCCGCATCTGTTTCCGTGCGGGGAATCCCAGCTTCACCTCGATACTGTAGGCCAATGTTTCTCCAGCTTGGCAGCTTGAAGGCGTGTGGCTGGCTGGGGAATTCTGGGAGTTGAAGCCCACGCACCTTCAAGCCGGAGAAACCCTGCTGTAGGCAGAGGGCTGGGAGCCAAAAGCGCCCCCTGGTGGCCGCCAATCCTCCACCCATCCCCACTTGGTCACCAGGTGCAAGGACCTTTTAGGCCTGGCTGCCCTCCTTACTACTGCAGAGGTAACAGGGAAAGCAAACAGGGAAGCAATTGACAAGGCGTGTGCCCTCCCAGAGGCGCTTTACAGCCTTGTGACCCTCCTGTTCAAACAGGTCTTAAGTATAAGCAGAGATGCAGACCAGGGTCATTCCGACCTTGAACAGCTCGACAATTGCTCGGTTGGCATGCAAAGATCCAATACACCTCCCTAGTCTAGGGCACATGATTGCAGATTCCTCCTCCGTCGCACACACGGGCACCTGTTATTAGGGTGTTAGGTTAATCCTGGGAAAAGACCAGCGTGTGGCCAGGAACAAGTAAAATAGTTTTAGCTGTGTTTGCATGACCCACTTACCCAGAGCTAACTGGGTTTGTGCAATCTGATTTTCAGCGTTCACACAACACGCTGAACTCTAAGCTAGCCACCCAGCTGGGCCTGTGTAATACGCTAGGCCTCTGGCATATTAATAATGTGTTAGGGGAATACACTTGTGATTTTAAAGAATTTATATACTGTCCCAGGAAAATGACCAGTGGGCCAAAATTTTGTTGGCTTCGCTGCCAAAGAAACTTTAATCCAGTTCGCAGGAGAAAAAAGTCGCACGCACAAAAACTAGCCTTGGCTTCATGCCTCCAACAGAAAACAGAAAAAGGATGCTGAAATTTGTAACTAGTCTTCATGTGCACAAGCACGTGCACCTGCTGAAAAGTAGGGACCCTATTTCAAGTATCTGCCCCAACCTGCTAAAACTGAAGGAGGTGCTTTTACTGTCTTGAGCTTCCGAATGTTTTATTAGAACAGAGTTTCTCAATTTCAGCAACTTTAGGCTGTATGGACTTCAGCTCCCAGAATTCCCCAGCAGCATGCTCCATGCTGGTTGGGGAATTCTGGGAGTTGAAGCCCACATAGCTTAAAGTTGCTGAGGTTGAGAAAGACTGCATTAGAATATAACATGGCGAGAGCAAGAAAGACAAAGCTGGTTTATTTTTCCCCTTTTAGCATTCAATAACAGGAAAGAGGCATGAATGGAGTGACAGACCATCAAACTTTTTGGACTGTGTTCGCCAAGTTTGGTCAGAGGCCACTCATTCATCCCTTTTGTCTAGCAACTCTTGGCCTGGCACAAACAATACACCGAAGCAGAGCGTAATTAATTGGATTTGTTAGGCGAACACATGCGAGCATTGGGGGGGGCACCACATTGTTCCTCCAGCCCTCCAGCCATTCAAAAACAGGCCAGGATGAAAAAGAAAAGCTGCTGCTGTTTTCAGAGTTTGATGGATGGTTTATTTCAGGTCATCACTTTATGGCAGTTGAACCACTCAAATCCAATTATCACAGGTGCCCATGCAGGTGCACGAATACACACACACACACACACACACACAGAGTTATGGTCCCTCTTCTGCAGATGCAGCACGACGCATTTACACGGATGGCTAGATGGGAAGGGGGCAGCGATGTGGAGGGTGGAGAGCAACAGCATATCAAATGGCAATGGGGGGGAGGTAGGAGGTCTCTCCTCTTCAAATCCCCTCCCTCTTGACAAAATAAGGCAGGGCATCCCTAACCTGCAAGCTCTCCATCTTCCACTGCCCCTGCCTTCCAAGGCGGCGAGGGGGACAACAGAGGAGAAACCCCAACTGACGCCTGTCCCCAAATGCTCCCTCCCTGCCAGCCTTCAGCTCTGGGTTAAGGGGCGAGCGACATTTCCGCCAAGCAAGTCTCTGATTCAGGGCACCGGTGAAGGGATATGGGCCTGGCAGGAAGCGGCAGGATCCGAAGAGGAGAAACCCAGTGCCGTCGACGCCCGCTCTCATTCCAACGACTGCAGCATGAGCAGCTGCTTCAGCACTTTCGTCTGGCTGGTCTCCCGGATTTCCCCGGCTAAGAACATCTCATCCACCACCGTGTAGACCTGCACAAAGAGCACACGTTGCTGCTGAGGTGGGGGCCGCCAGGATGGGCAAAAGCTCTCACGCGGGGAGCCCATCTTTCCTCCAGCTGAGGATGGCCATTGGCCTTCGAGCAGCCTGCTGGAGCCAGGCCAAACCTTACATTTAGCTGCGTCCGTTGACTTTTATTTCAAATTAAGGGTAATTAATCTGGTTATCCTCCAGCCGCCTGTCACAGTCAGCGCGTACGATGTCTATGGTTTAAGACTGATTAAGTGCCATCAAGTTGAGACAGACTCTTAGTGACCACGTAGAGATATTCATTCCGTGAGGATCAGTTTTCAATTTAGTCTTTTCATTGGGACACATAGGACTCCTCTCTATGCACATATGCGCAGCATGGAGCCTTTGCCCTCTGCATGAATCCAACCCATGACCCTCCACAAAGCCCCAGAAGCCTCACCAAGAGGCACTGATACACTCCCTAACCCTTTCAGTTGGGGGGGGTCCCTCACCCTCCTCCTAATTCCAGAAGCAGCCTTTTCTCAACTCTCTCCTGGATCCCATCTGGTTTTTTGGTTTGCACTGGTTTGTATGTTACTCCAGGCAGTCCCTGGGTTAAGAATGTCTGACTTATGGACAATGCGTACTTATGAACGGGCTGCTTTTTACTAAAAATGGAGAACAGTGTTCTCCTTCCTTGAGCCGACAAATGGCTGAAGCTGTGCATTTTTAATATGCAGCCTGTTTTCAGCGGTTCATGAAAACATTGTGCGGCTTCAGTGGTTCGTTGGCTCAAGGAAGAATGCTGTCTGCCATTTTTAAAAAGAGGCAGCCCATTTGTAAGTACAAGTTCCGACTTACATACAAATTCAAGTTAAAGACAGACTTAGGAACGGATCTCGTTCTTAACCTGGGGACTGCCTGTATTTGTAAACCCCTCAGAGTCAGTTGGGGTCGGGTGGTGTTCAAATGGCGATAAATAAATAATAAAACCCCACCTTGTAGAAGTTGAAGACCAGGTCAAGCTCACAGACGTTGTGGAAATACTCGTTCAAAACCTGAAGAAAAAGAAGGGATTTTGAACGTGGGACTTCTGCCCCGTGCAAGACATGAGGAGGAGATGGGATGCAACACCATTTGCCAAGAACACCTTGCTAGGTACGCTGTTGGTGGGCAGAGCACATGCTGTTCCTGTGAGAGGCATCGAATCCTTTTTTACTGACTAACCTCTTGTACAATGTCATAGCAAAGATGATCAAAGGCAAAGAGACGATGGGGAGGAGAAACCATCAGGTTCAGGTCACAAGCATCAGAAAAACCTCTGCAGAAGCTCAGTATCAGAAGAGTATGCAACAAGGAGTGAATGTGAGAAACCTCTCTCTGCCACATGGAATACATTATTATTATTACAATATATTACTCTTGTACCCCCTTCATGGATCACTGCCTTGTCGTGGCGAAGGGGCTTGCGTAACTCAGTGAAGCCATGAGCTATACCGTGCAGGGCCACCCAAGACGGACAGGTCATGAAAGAGAGTTCGGACAGAATGTGGTCCTCTGGAGAAGGAAATGGCAACCCACTCCAGGATCCTTGCCAAGAAAACCCCATGGACAATGTTAAAAGGCTAAAAGATATGACGCCGGAAGATGAGCCCCTCAGGT